TCCGTAAAGCATAAGGATAGGCCTAAGTAGGCCCTCATACATATAAGATGGGCGGGTGGACTAGTTAGTGATGCAATCCCTTATCCTGTCTAGGTTTTAAGTTTTAATGGTGGCGAGTAACATCAACTCCCACGTTCTTAAGTGTTAAAGTTAAAGGGTGGAAGTAATTAATTACAACTTCCACAATTTTAACTTATACATTTAAGGAAAAACTCTTAAGTGCTTTGAGGATTTTAGTAACGGTGTAGACTGACTACAACACACTCATCAGGTTGTAGAGAAGATACGAGGGAGGATCCAGATCGAGAGCGGCCAGCTAGAAGAGAGCAGTACAATCGTCAGTGAAGATGCCGGCGGAGGAGGGATCACAGTAAGCAGCCACACAAGTTTCAGTTATTATACTTTATGATTATGAGTAAAGACTGGAGATTGAGATTAAGATTTTATGATTTGTCTAAGTGTTATGGATTTGCTTTAAGTATGACAATATTTATGATTTCAGAACAATGTTATTTTAATTTATTTGAGAAATTATTTATTAAAAAGTTTTAAATATGCTCTGGAGCAAAACAGCTATTTGAATGTTTAAAATATTAGGGTGTACAGATATAATCCATTGGAGAAAGAGAATGGTTTAATGCCAACAATAATGTTTGCCATTGTACATTACAAACTTAGTCATACAACTTACAAAATAGGTTGAAAGATAAGTTTGTAGCAGATTAACGAAGGACTTGTCCATTGCAAACTAATTTGCTAAACAGAGGCATAATCTAGGAAGGATCTTGGTCCAATAACATAAGGGAGGGAAGAATCTAAATCAAACAAAAGCTAGCAAATTGGAAGAAAGCAAGAGATGGTTTTTGTTGGAATTTAAATCCCCATTCCATTTATTGTGTGACTGTGCATTCATTAGATTGTCAAAATATGTAGACACATTATACTCTGACTAAAAGACCATATAATGATTACCTCATTGCCAAAATGCTAAACTTACTTCCCCCATTTGTCCATGACGACCATCCTTACGGTTTGGGATCAATCTCTTCCAAAAGAGGAGCAAAATAGTGGATTGATACGTACCTATGGGAGGACCAGATCGAGGTGGTGGGGAACCAATGCATGTAAGGGGAAAACCATATCTCATGAAGAAACGCTTTATTTGTTGGTTTTGGGAGCTAAAATATATTGGGGAATAGAGAGAATTACAACTTGGAAATAGGTAATAACTAAGGAAGAGATCACCAAAGCATAAAGCATCAAAATAGTGTATCATATCGCCGGGTATAATAAGGGGAGGGGAGAATAAAAGTCGACATCAGTAAATGTTGCGGACCATGCACGTAGATAGCATGGCTGAGCTGTGTTTTGGGAGTTTTGTGTTGCACTTAATTTTTGTGGGTAGCTAATTGTAATTAGCTAGTTGAGTATAACCGAAACCCTAGTTGTTGTGTAGATGGGTTCGACTAAGTATAAGTAGCTTGCATAGTTGCTGCTGCTAGTTAATAAAAAGTGGAATAAGATTGACTCGAGAGCCCTAGCTCTCCGTGAAATAGTCTCCTACACATCGAACGGGGAAACCACGTAAATCGTGTGTGTTCGTTCTTATCTCTTACATTTTTATTATGGTATCAGAGCCTTGTTAGATCTTCTCTATGATTTCTTCCTGTTTCGACTTCTTTAATCACCATGAAACGGATTGGAGACTTAGCCAAATTCTTTCCCTTTTGCTTCCAACATGAATTGATCATTTGGCAAGTAATTGAACCTTGTACAAGGGGGTATTTGGGATCATATCAGGAACCTTCTTCAAAAATCTTTGCCCTCAAAGCTGGTTCACACCTGCATCCAAAATCATCAACAAATCCATCCCAAAAAGGATCGCAAAAGGGAACCTCTGTGGCCGATGACTCAAACTGAGGCGAACCCTTCGATTCTGAAGTTTTAGGATTCGAGACATCCAGAGACATTTGACCCCTTGAATTGAGTTTTCTTTGAGTCCAGGAACCTCCTCAAGTCGATTTAAGTACCTGAAACTGCGTGGGTGACATCATTTTGTCTCTCTTAGTTTTCCCGCCATCAGAAAATTTAAAATTTCTAGAATTCGGCCAACTAAACCAAGAATCCGGTGACGAAAAATCAAAATTGGGGAAATTTGATTCCCTCATTTTTGTGACGGTTTCTTTGATCCTACACCATTCTTGGGACTCCAGAAAGCAAACCCAGGGGTCCTTTCGAGTTGAATCAACCCAAAACTCCACAACCAATTCAGAGTTGTTTTGGTCAATGATGTGGACATTGTGTCCCGAATTTGAAGAATTGGGCGTTTCCAATTCAAAGCATTTCACCCCAATTTCCTTGCTCCACACGTTCTTAGGTTGAAAACCGACGTGTTGGCATAGTTGGCTTGACCTAGATTGTTCCCTAATGCTTTTACCAATTCACTCTCTTTCCTCTCCTGCCTCATGGTCGATTACAAACATGTGATGATTTTTTTGATTGGTCGAGATATCTTAGGCATTCGCAAGGTGATTAGCATGAATCCTCCACGCACCAGAAGTGTCCTCTTCCTTGTGTTTTCCGATACTTTTCTGGGCTCTAATGGAATCCATTTGCTGCTGATCAGATCAAACCACCGAATGTGTCAATGGTTTGAGCACAATTTGCTTCTCATCGTGCTTGAATTTATAGCAATTGGAGCCTCCATCATGCGTGACTACGCGATCAAATTGCAAGGGCCTAACATGCAGTGGATGGGCCGCTTGCATTGATGCAACGTCACCCAAGATTTCATCCTTGTAGCTGCCAATTTCAAATGCGTTTCGAGCTCACTTTGTCACTATAATCATCCCATAGTCGTTGAGCCAATGTAGACTATAAGGCTTAGGATGTTTGATTGTCTCGAACCTTGACAAAAACCTTTGCCACAAGCTTGGGATTCGAAAATCGCCTCCCCACAAATGTCTTCTACTGTTTCTCTATCTTGATGGAAAGGTGCATTGCTTCCTCTAATTCGACAAATGAATTGAGCTCTATCTCGTGTTGAATTTCTAGATTTAATCCATGGAGGAATCGTGCAATTGTGGCCTCGTTATCATCCCTAACATCGGCCCTCATCATCTGCAATTCCAATTCACAAAAATACTCCTCTACGCCTCTTGATCCTTGTCGAATCCCTTGCAATGACTCATGAAGTCTTGTTGATGATATCCTGAGATAAACCTTACCCTCATTAGACCTAGCAATTCATCCCATGTCTCCACATGAGCTTGTATATTTTGTTGTCGATATAATTGCCATTGCTCCTACCACTATGTATAATTCAAGAACTCGTACGTAGCCATTGCTACCTTTTGGATGCTCGCTGAATTGTCTGCATTGGAAGAAGAGGATTATCTTTCTTTCCCAATCCAGATACGTAGCAGGTTTCAATGTCCCCGAAAACTAAAGGAACGAAGAGCTTAATTTCAGGAGGAATTGTCGACTCTGTTTCAGGTTGCCGCTCTCGATGTTCATGATTGCGTCGTCCTGGTTCAAGATTTTCCACAACTAATCGCTGCTCGAGCTCCTCAATTCGAGGCATTAGTTCACGATTTTCTCGGTCTTGATTCGTCCTTGTTTCCCTGCTTGTTTCCGGTGGTTATGACAGCGCGTCGAGCCTCTGTTCGAGCTTGTCAAATTGAGCCTGAAAAAGAACACCCAACTCGGCCATGATTGAGGTGGTTTTTGGTCGATACGAAGCACAACACCATGGCGGAACACAACCAACAATGAAGGGTTTGGTGACAATATCACTTCTCATTAAACTAAAAACTATGTTTAAATCGAGGCTTTCAATCCTTTAAATAGCAAAAAACAAACTGAAATTGAACTCTAATCTAACAAGGAATCAAAACTAGATCAAACCCTAACAAGGACACATGAATCCAAATCAGAAAAGGAAAGTAATCCTCATTGTTTAACACACACGTAGTTTACTTCATGCGCAAGTAATGAACTTAGACTCCATAGATACTTGAGGCTCTTGTTCGAAGCTCTCCAAGGAACTTCGAGCCAATCAGGCTTCAGTCGTTTCTTCAACGAGTCTCTAGCTTCTTTCTTCAACTCCCAGCTTCAGAGACTTAAACAAACTATTGATCTTCAGATCCCAATCTTCCTCTTACATTTCCATAGAGTAAAGCATAAGATATGAATCTCCAAAGTAAGCACCATGAATCGGGTTGGACACTTAGCCAAATTCTTCCCCTTTTCCTTCCAACATGAATTGATCCTTTGGCAAGTCATTGAACATGGTACAAGGGGGTATTTTGGATCATATCACCCTTCAGGCGAGAAGTAGTGATAGAAAGAAAAACAATTTTTATTTCATTATTTGGATTCATTTGTCAGTTTATTATTGTTTATGACCCTATTGGGAGAATTATTCGGGTTATTGGTTAGAAAGTAATAGTTTGGGTAGTTATCGATAATCGTCATTATATATATTGTGTAAGTGGGAGTTATTTTCACCAAGTATAATAAGAATAATCATTTTCCTAAACCTAATCTATCTACCTCTCTTCTCTCTCCCTCCCTCTCCTCTTCCTCTCGAGGCTGGCCTCCAAATCCCTCCCTTCCCAATTATTTTCTCTTCTTCATCCCCAAATCACATACGGCTGCCACCTCCCTCCCATTCCATACCCAAATTCCCCATTTACTACACCAAATCCAAATTTTCCATCACCCACCACGTCAATACAACCATTCCTCTTCCCCTTCCACTAAATTCCCATACTAAGCTCCATAGAAGCTTTGTTTCTATCATCTTAGTATCACATCCTAGTTCGAGATCGAGTTCGTCAAGAATCTAGACCAGGGATTATCGAAGAAGATCAATGGGGATAACCAAATTGTAAACGGAGGCAAAGAAAGCTGTAGTGAAGGCGGCCGAAGAGGCAAGAGCCGTGCAAGGAAAGAGTCCAGCCGCGGCCAATCCCACGAAGTTGGTACAATTGAAAAATATGGGTACGCCGAGCGAATCCGTGAAGAGCATAGCTCCATCGCAGGGTGATATCCACGCATCACTAGATGCTGGACTACAAGCCATGGTAAGAACCATCCATAGCACGACTGACAAGGACAACGCGGAGATGAGAGCGATGAGGCAGATGATGATGGAGATGATGTATCAGCTAGTGAATCGATCGATGGAGTTTGGAGCAAGGAGAAGTTAGTCTTTTTCTTTTACTTGTTTGTTAAGGTTTTGATTTCCTTTTTCAAGTAGGATTTGTTTATCCTTAGTTCTAGGTTTTTTGATTCATTTGCCTATTTAAAGAGCCAGAATCATTGTAATTTGCATTTAAGTTTTTTCAATCAATCGAATACAAGTGAAGTGTGTTCGAGTTCAATAGTGAACTTTACTTAAATTCTCCTTTGAGGATTTGAGAGGTTTGAGTGTCTCTTATTAACTAGAAGATCACATCTAGTTGTGGCGTGTTCGGCCATATCGCTTGGCCTTATCCACGTACGGGTTCGAGATTGTTTGATTGGTCTCATATACCAATTGGCCCTTCTCACGAGTTGACATATGTTTGATCGATTTCCACAAGTTATCTTTATATTTCGTGTTATTCAAGAAAGGAGAAAAACCCTAAATAGTTTGACGTGTGAAACTCTGGTGTTTTGGTCCAAGTTTAAGTGGATTCTCGAATTAGGGTCATACCAAGTGGTATGAGAAGCCCGGTTCAAACGCAATAGAGAAGATAAAGGTTCTTGGAGTTTTTGGTGGTTTGTGTAGCATTCTTGGAAATCTTGAACGTTTAAGAAAACAAATCTTTGACGTTCTAGGAGGGTTTCTTGTGCGGCAATAAAGTTATCTTGAAGGAGAGCATTTGCACGGATCTTCTTCATCATGAAACCATGACAGATCAAGCACAAGATGTGGTGACACAACTTCATCAAATCACCGCCGAACTAGCTATGGTACTTGCAAAGGTGTGATCAAGATCATCCTCAACCACGAGATCAAGAGATACCCAAAGGCGAGTATGCAAATCCTAAACCTAAGGAGCGACAAGAAGAAAGGAAAGTTGTACGAGCTGTTCAACGTCCAATGTATGAGCACGTTCGTTGACATAGGCCATTGGGAGGGCATCGTGGTGCAAGGTGAGACTTTTCCTTCTATGACGAGGAAGGTTATGAAGAGTATGAGTATGATGGAGGCGCTTACCTACGAGATGATGATGATGATGACCTATGAGTCCTAAAGGTAACTGTGCCATCGTTTAAATGAACAATTGATCTGGAAGCATATATAGATTGGGAGCGCAAGATGGAGTTGATATTTGATAATCAAAACTATTCGGAGAAGATAAAGGTGGCGATGGCTTCTATGGAGTTTATGGATTATGTATTGGTTTGGTGGGATCAATTGTGCACAAAGAGGAGAAGAGATAGCTCCGGGCTTATTGAAACATGGTAGGATATGAAGGGAATTATGAGAGATTGATTTGTTTGAGCCTATCATCAACAGGAGATGCACCAAGCATTGCAACTTCTTCAAATTGGTAACAAGAATGTCGAGGATTAATATCGGGAGATGGAGTTGTTAATGATTCAAGCTGGTGTTCGTGGAGATAAGGATGCTACCAAAGATCAATTTCTACATGGTCTTAACCGAGATATTCGTAATGTCGTGGAAATTCAGCAATTTGTGGAGATAGAAGATTTGGTGGCTATGTGCAGCAAAGTGGAGAAACAATAGAAGAATATATGGTTTCTACCCTCTACAAGTGCTACGAGGCATACACCAGCACCTACAACAAACCCTAGGTCGAGTGTTTCTACAAGAGAAGCACCAAAACTCGGGCCAAAGGTGGAGGCTCAAAACCATAGCACCAAATAAGGTTCATTTTATTGTGGGATTCAATAATTTAAATGCAATGGACGTGGGAACATTGCAAACCAATGCCCTAACAAGAGGGCATTGATACTACTATAGAATGAAGAGTATGTGTCTGATGGTGAAGAGGAAGCAACATGAAGAGAAGAATGCATCAGATTCTGAGGTAGATGAGACCATAGAGATGGAGACACCTCCGGGTAAATTGTGTGTAGCTCAAAGGGTATTGAGAATTTAACCAAAGGAGTAACTTGAGCAACGAGAGCATTCCTCCCATACGAGGTGTGTGGTGAATGGGAAGACCCTTTCAGTTGTGATTGATGGAGCAATGTGGTTAGTGCAAGTTGCATGAATAAGTTGTGGTTGAAAACAACAATTCATCCAAAACCCTACATGCTTCAATGGCTCAATGAAAATGGATCGATCAAGGTGGCCAAAAAGCATCTTTGAATTCCTCCATTGACGAGTACAAGGATGAGGTAATGTGTGACGTGGTGGCAATGCAAGTGGCTCATGTCCCGTTAGGGAGGATGTGGCAATTTTATCGATGTGCACAACATGATGGCATCACCAACAAGTACACGTTGCTGCACCAAGGTAAACAGATTGTATTGAAGCCTGTATCACATAGAGAAGTGTATGAAGATCAATTGGAAATGCGACAACTTTGAGAGGAGGAGAAGAAGTCTCAATCCGCAAAAGGTGGAAAGAAGGGTTTGAGTAGCTTAGAGTCCAAGGCATTGATGCTAGCTCGATAGGGAGATATTAAGCAAGCCCTCAATGATCAGTGTCTATGATTATCGTCCAATACAAGGGATTGCTACTCAACTAAGATCTGGTTCAAGAGGTACCACCTAGGGAACGAGTGGTACTAGAAGAGTTTAAGGATGTCTTTCCCGAAGAAGCACCAAAGGGATTACCTCCAATCCGCGGGATAGAGCATCAAATTGACTTCATTCCTGGGGATACCATTCCAAACATGGAAGCCTATAGGACAAATCCATATGATACAAATGAGTTGCAAAGACAAATTGATGAGCTTATGGAGAAAGGACATTTTTGTGAAAGCATGAGTCCTTGTGCGGTTCCGGTCATCCTCATTACATAGAAGGACTATACGTGGAGGATGTGTGTTGATTGCCGAGAAGTCAACCCAATAACCGTTAAGTATCGTCATCCTATTCCTCGATTAGATGACATGCTTGATGATTTACATGGCTCTAGAATGTTTTCGAATATTGATCTAAGGTCTGGTTATCACCAAATTCGCATGAAGGAAAGAGACGAGTGGAAATAAAATTTCAAGACGAAGCATGGTCTCTATGAATGGATGGTGATGCCATTCGGCTTAACAAATTTTCCAAGCACGTTTATGAGATTGATGAATCATGTGTTGAGAGCCTTCATTGGGAAATTCGTGGTTGTCTACTTTGTTGACGTTCTTTTTTGTTAGAAGAACATGGAAGAGCACCTTGAGCACTTGAGGGACATGTTGAAGACCTTGTGAAAAGAGCAACTTTATGCTAATTTTAAGAAGTTTATGTTTCGCACCTCAAACGTGGTATGGGTTTCCTCATGAGTGCTAGTGTAGCTGAAGTCAATGAAGAGAAGGTGAAGGCGATTCAAGCACGGACACTCCTACAAACATGAGTGAAGTAAGAAGCTTTTGTGGATTGGTTGGCTTTTACTGACGATTTGTGCCCAACTTCAGCACCATTGCTGCACCATTGACCTTATTATAAAGAAAAATGTGGCATTTTATTGGGGAGAAGAGCAAGAGAAGGCATTCGAGCTCCTCAAGTACAAGCTTACTCATGCTCCTGTTATGATGCTACAAGATTTTAACATGACATTTGAAGTGGAGTGTGATGCATCAAGATTGGGAACTAGCGTTGTATTGGTGCAAAAAAAAGAGAGGCCAATTGCATATTTCAGCGAGAAGTTGAGTCGGGCTACGCTTAATTATCCGACTAATGGCAAAGAGCTCTATGCGCTTGTATGAGCTTTGGAGACTTGGCAACATTACTTGTGCCCAAAGGAATTCGTAATCCATATTGATCATGAGTCTCTCAAGTATTTGAAGGCTCAACACAAGTTGAACAAGAGGCATTCTCGTTGGACAGAATTCAACGAATCGTTTCTTTATGTGATCAAGTACAAGCAACACAAGGTGAATGTAGTTTCTCATGCATTATCAAGAAGATACACGTTGATCACTACCATGGATGCAATGTACCTTGGGTTCGAGCAAATAAAAGGCATCTATGAGGAGGATTCTGATTTTCGAGAGATCTATTAAGTGATTTTGTGTCTAACTAATCTTTTATCGTCTTATAAAATGTTATTTGCATACCCATTTCGTTATTTTTTGTTTATGATACTGTTTTGGGATACATTTGACATTTTGAGCAAAGACGGGTAGAAAATGGGCAAGAATGTGTAAAAACAAGGAGAAGGACCAGACAGTGCAAAGATCGCAGTTGAAGGGCTCAAGTTCCCGACCAAGAAGATGGCCGTGAAGACTGCTAGAAGATCGCGGGCCTCGAAAGATCCCAACCGCAGAGTCGAGCGTTCTGACCGTGAACTCTGGAAGGAGTTATTGCTGGGAGAACAGAGAGTTTCCCCACTCTCTTTGCGGGCTTCGTTGATCCAGAATGAGGAAAACGATCACGCCCGCAACAGGTAAGTTCGCAGCCGCGATCTTTCTTCTTCACGGCTGCGATCTTCCGTCTTCCTTCTTCAGGATGCAAGATTTCAAATGCCTATAAATAGAGGAGCTGCTAAAGAGAAAAAGAAGAGTCGGCCTAGAGTGAGAAAATTAGGGTTTTGTAGTGTTTTAGAGAGGGAAACACTTTTGGAGAGCTTCATTGAATATCCAATCAACCCAAGGAGCAAGGAGAAGGTGCAAGCAAGGAGAAGAGGCTTGATTTAATCATTCTGCTCTTCTAGTTTGTGTTTTCTTCTTCTCTCTAATGACTTGAATCTCTAATGGTTGTTTAGAGAAGATGAACCCTGGTTTATAGGTTGTGTATGAATGGGTTATGTATGAATGTGTTTATCTAGTTGATTTTAATACTTTCCTAGCTTTGATTGTGTTTGGTTAAGTCGCCCTAATAATCTCCACTAGCCTGCTTTACGCTTCTACGCTGGGCTTCCAGTTTTAGAGTTAGACGGGTATGCACCATCAAGTATATTAAGGTTATATGTATGAATAGGATCCATGGTGAGTGATACTCATTTAGATAGTAATGCCTTCCTACATAAACCCAGGATAAACCCTCAGTGTGGATGGTTGATAGTATCCATTGAAAGGAGCTACGAGCTTAATGACCCAGATACGATAGACTAGATCGAGGTGACTATATATGGGTTTACGGGATGCGTACTCGGAGGCGTGTGGATAACCACGAAAGTCCACGGAAAAGAGCGCGTTCAACACATTCTCTTAACCCTAATTGACAACCATAGCTAGGAGGATTCGACCCTAGAAACCCGTCTCACCTCTAGCAACCTCCCAATTACCTGGTTGGTTGTTTATTTTTCCTTTAGGAGTAGATTAGGTTAAACCCCTCGCCGAAATTCCGGCTCAATTAGATAGTAGTTCGGAGCGAAGTAATAGTAAGCTTAGGGATCCCTTGTAATAAGACCGAGCCACTTTACTACAACCCTAGCTAGGTATACGTGGCTTAGTTAGTGCGCATCGACCTATAAATTTAAAGCTCGATCGCGCATAAGCATCCGATCAAGTTTTTGGCACTGTTGCCAGGTAGTCTTAAGTTAATAGGAAAAGTCGAGAACTACTAATTAATAATTTTTGCGTGCCAAGTTTGGCGTGTATTTTCGTGTCTTGTGTTTTCTACTTGTGATGTCATATTTTCTTTCTCATATTCATCTTTCTTTTGTTATGTTCCCTTTAGTTAACTTGTGTTAAGTGTTTTCTATATTTTTGTTTTCTTTTCTTTTTACACTTGTGCTTTCGTGGGTTGTTTTGGTTTTTGTGGATATAGATAGTGTTTAGGTGTAGCTATGTATCCATATGGTTGGCATGAGAAGTGGGGAGATCACCAACCACCGAATTGGTGTTATCTTAAAGCATCTAGTAGCGATGCTAGCGAAGGATCCGGGTACAAAGAACCGACCCCTCTCCATGCCTATCAACGATACCCCCACGAGAAGAACAAAAGAGTTATCGAGCAACTTTGCTCGAGACTCAATCAAGAGTGCCTCTTCAACATCAAGAATGAAGCGAAAGAAGAAGTAGTAGAAGAAGAATGTGTCTCAAGGGTGGACAAGCAAGTGGCCCTTGAAAATCCATCTATTAAAGAACTTGGATGTAAATCCATCATTGCTACTAATAATAAAAAATAAGAAACTAAAGAAGGGAGCATTGATAAAGTTGTAAGGAAGGAAGAAGAAATTGAAGAAGATGAAGAGCTTGGTATTCAACATGGAGAAGATTCTTCACAAGAAGGAGAGGAGGTTGAAGACGCAATTGGAGTCCGACCAATGGACAAGGCCAAAGTGGATGAAGCTTCCACAAGTTACGCGTACTTCTCAAAATTTCCACCCGACCTTGATACACTTTTAGAGAAGGATCCTTTTGCGGATTCTCTTTGCCAAGACAAGGCCACATGATCAACAATCCCTCTTGGTGGATTCAAGGATGGTCAGTCAAGTTTGCATTACATGGTATGGGGCAAAGAGAAGAAAGAAGAAGAGGTCTCGTGGGGGGAAAAACAAATTTCACCACGTCCACGGGTCATTCACACCATTTGAAACATCCAAAGCTCGGGACTTAAGCCACCACCTCACCGACGAGAACTTCAATTTCTAGGCGATCTTGAGCTGGACTGAGTATTTGAAGAAAACAGTCCGGTGAAACGACCAAAAAGACACGCTAGTTGGGAGACGCCCCCAACATCGGTTTGCATATCTTTCCTCTTTTTGCAACTCTTATGTTTAGATTAGATGTGTAGTTATTTAGATATTTATTTAGTTGTTTTATTTCTTTTCAAAGAAATAGTCTAATGCTAGGAATGTCTATATTTGCCCCTCTATGTAGCCTTAGTACTGTCCTCTATTGCAACCCCCTTGATGATCCTGGTCCGCAGGGTACATAGGAAATCCAGAGTGAGAACTTTGTAAATCCTCTCATTGATTTCCAAAACCTTGAGCCACACCGGGTCTCTAATCCTATCAGTGATCTGGTCTGCCACTACTAACTGAGCAAGAGTACCCAATCAAGGAACTCGCTCTCCCCTGTAGCCATCCCCTAGAACCGCTGGAGATTTTCTCTAGAGAGGAATGGGATTGCCCCGAGGAACAGATGGTCCACATGGGGCATTGCTGCCCTCGGTGCCCTCCTCTGGGGCTGCTGGAGTAGCTGCTAAACCACCTCCTCTACTTGAGGTTTGGGATCCGAATGATATTGAGGCTCCCCTTGTCTCAGGGTCGTGCCAATTGGAGTACCCTTCGGTCCCTATGGCGATTCCTACGAAAATACTTAATAAAGCCTGATAAGGGGTCCCGTCTCTCCAAAGGATCAAAGCCCTCCCCTCTGCCAATCCTTTTTCCCTGTCATTCCTCCTGAAAATCCATAGTAAAGTCAATTCAAAGTAGCAAAACAAGTTCTGAACACAAGGAGTTCTTCCCCCACACTTGGCAGAAACAATGTGCTCAAAGGCGAAAGATGGGGGGGGGGGGGGGGGGGGGGGGGTCAAAAGTCAATTTCTGGGCTAAAACAGGGAAAAGTAGAAATGTAGAATCTTAGTATATGTTAAAACAAAGTCATCTACAGTTTAACATGAACAGAAATTGTGCCCCAAGTGAGATGAAAGGGCGCACAAATAATGCATGGTAACATGTTCTCAATATGCAGAGTCGGGGAAATTATTCTCAAGAACTAGTTACCATAACTATAATCAAGGTTTCTCGAGCTAACTTGGATTTGAAATAGCAGCATTCAAGCTAAGAATCAAGTATGTAATCAAGGAATTTCGAAAAAGGAAATGTGGTTCGGGCAAATTATCAAGCTCTTGGTGGGCAGGATTTTCAAAATCCAAATCCTTCAGTCACAAGCATATACCCATCAAGGCCTCTGAATCCACACACTGTATCCAAACCAAGCGTACATTGTTTCCCATTCATCAAGCAATCCAAGGAACAACTCCATTTCCTCATGATTGACACCCCTAGCATGATGTCATGCTTGACCCCCCTGACATGATGTCATGCTTGACCCCCTGGTGGTTACGTCTCGACACTTAACCAAATTTTGGCTCTCTTTGCCACCACGGCTAGGGGTACTCGCGATGACCCCCCTTGTGGTTGGGTCTCCACGACCTGGGTGGTTGATGTTGAAGGGTGTCAATGCTTGGCACTTGACCCCCTTGTGTGACGAGTGGGTGTTTGGTGGGTCAAGTGGTGTGTGTTGAGGTACCTGGTATGAAGCCCAAAATACCATTATTTAGGCCCAGCCTAAACCAATTTAATTAACATGGTTAAGTTGGCCTTGTAAATCACTACCACTCCTTGAAAACAATCAATGTGGTATTGAGTGATTTTTTAGTGGTAAACACCATGAAAACCTAATACCAACCTAGATGAACAAGTTAACAAATAAGATAAAAGACTACACTAAAAAGGACACAAAATTCGGACTCAAACTCTCTTTCTTGAAGCACAAGTAAGCTAACAGTCCAAAAGCAGCTTTGGTACTAACTTTGCGCCTTTCGTTTGAGGCCTTCCACAACTCCAATCTTTCTTCCAATTCATTGCCTTGGTAGATAAACATACCTATTTTCATGTTGTGGAAGCCTTTGGACTTGAATTAGATCCATGCTCTTCGAATTGAGCTCCAAAGTAGGCTTCACAAACCAGTTTTTTGCCTTAGCCATTTTCAGGCAATTTTCAGCTTTCCTGATAGCAACTTTGGACGTCTAGAAAGTGGTCTTAATGGATTCTTCTGGATCCAAAAACCATACCAACTTGTAGAGGGAGACGTAATCTTCAAAACAAGCCCTTAATCTTCAATCTCCAATTTTCAGTGAGGCAATTGTGAGAACCAAGTCTCCATATTAGGTACCATGAACTCGGAAAATGACAGCCAAATTCTACCCTTCTTCTTCCAAACTTTGGTAGCTTCTTCGACAAGTAATAAAAACGTGTAGAGTTGGCCATTTGGGATCATATCAGGAATAGTCCCATCAACTAACTTCAAACGCAGAGGAGTAGTTGCCTGCAGAACACACCCCAATTATCTAGCTTTGCACTGATTAAGGAATGTGTGGGTACTGCCAGTATCGATCAAGACCATTAGAGATGCTTTCGAAGCACCTAAAGTAGAAAAACCACCAACCCGAGTAGCAAAACTGCGAAGCTTTATCCGACGAGCCTCATTTGAGACCTCTTCCAGTCGAGAAAATTGAATAGCATGGGCTAAGGACTGGGGCTGTCACAGAGTAATCACAGGACGCAGCTCTTCTTCACGACCACTCACATAACTGCAAATGAAATATTCCTTTGTGAGAGCAGGATTATCACGCATTTGTGATTCAACTTCTCTGTACTTTTTCTGGTACTCCACTAGAGATCCTTGTTGTCGTAGCTTATTAAACTCACATATGATACCCCCAGAGGACCAATAAGAGAATCTGTGATACAAGGAAGGAACTAATTCCTCCCATACCAACTCCATACAACATGCCCTCCAACCTTCAAACCAAATATATGCTCGCCGTTCGAAGTAAATGGCAGTCAGAGTAACCTGTTGATCTCGAGGGATGCCATAGATGGAAAGCATCTTCTCACATTTGCATGTCTACTTTCTAGGATTATCACTATTAAAGTACGAAAAGTCCAAACTCGGAAGCTGATATTGATTATTGTCATCACGATTGTGAAGGAAATTTTCCAGATTTGGCCCGCTCTCCCGATTTCCCTGACGTTGCGCAACTACTTCCTGATGTGCCACTAAGGGCCTCGAACATTGTTGCACAACTACTTCCTGAATGCCTCGACATTGTTTTGAGCTACCAGCGGTCCCTCCGCCTAGGCAATGACTGGCGACCACGGTTGACCTAATTCAGCCAACTGCCTCATGACCTGATCAAAACGAATGTCAAGGCTTTCCAAATGTGTGTTCAGATTTGCCAAATTGCATGGAATGTTCATTGCCTTCAGTAGTCAAAATGTGTAGTTGATGCTTGTTGAAGTGAAAATGTTCACCATTTGTCGTCATTTCTCGTCCATGGCTGTCAATTTTTCACTGACGTGGTGTAGAGTATCTTCAACGGCAATGGTGTGAATGGTGAACTGTGTGAGCTTCTCTTCCATAAGAATCGTCGCCATCGAGTCGAGTGAAGGCTCTGATACCAGGCTGTCACAACTTGGATGGAGAATTGCCATAGTAGCTCGATTAATTGAGAATGTGGACGCTGTAATGGTGGAAAGAGAGCTGTAGCAGGGGTCATTGAGAAAATGAGGGAAAGAAGTAGAGTAAAGTTAGAGAGAGAGAATAAAAGTTTGTTATTGTCGTTATGTCGTCATAACACGTGGGATCGGGTCTTTATACGCCCCGTATCACACAATGACTACCAAGACCCCTAAAATTCTAATCTATTACATCTGAGTCCTCCTTTTCCAATCCTTCAACCTCCATTTTATTACAAATGAGGATTATTCATTACAGTTGGATTGACCATAGCCCGACGCTTCATCTCGTCATCACCGATTTTCAAACTAGTGAGCAAATGAAGATCCTCATGTCATCGTAGTAAGTGCTCGGACTGGGTCGGGATATGATGATGGTGCACTTGTTCAGGAGAATAACTTAAGTGTGGCGCGTGAATTAAGTGGCCCTTTGGATTTTACTTTTTATTCAATTTCCTAGTTTTCTTAATCGACTTCCTTCTTCTTCGTTCTAATTTGGATTTTTCTTTTATTTTTTTGCACAAATGGAACAAGTTCGTTGTGCTATACAAAAGGAGATCTAGTTTCAATATATTTTGAGAAAAAAATTCCATAGCTCTTGTTACCAACTTCATACCATATGGTATCTTCTTCATTTTTTATACTTGCACAGATAGAACGAGTTCATTATGATCTATTGGATCTACACATTTCTGGGGGGGGGGGGGGGAAATACAATACCAAAAAATACCACCTCACACAACCCTAGTATGGGAGTGGTATCTTGTGATAGACAATCTTGAAAGTCATAAATGATAGTTAGTATACTCCTACTATCATGTATTCAACCCTCCTACAGTCTGGTATGAACATACCAGCACAGTACGTTTTCATACCATATGGTATTCTCTTATTTATTACCAATCAATACCGCCATTAGGGGTGTTCAAATGGTTACCATGGTTATAACCAAACCAAATAAGGCTAAATTCCATTAATCATGGAATACAATATCAAAACCAAACCGTCCAAACTAATACAACAACCAAATTAACCAAACTAAAGTTTAATCGGTTTGGTTAATTGGTTAACCAGATTAACCAATATAAAATCACATTATCTTTGATGATGAAAATTTTCCGGTTAATGCAACAATTCGCAATTTATATAATGAATAAAACATAACAATCAACATGTAGTTATAGTTGACCTTTAACAAAAATACATGCAACTAAGACAATTATCTTACGATTAGTATAGAAGTATTCACCTAACAAAAATTTATGACAATGGTATTGGTTAATGAATTGTTGTGTTTGTGTAAATTGACTTAGTCTCTTAGCAATTATCATAGGCTGGAAATGACCTTTCTTTCAAGTTTTCATCCATCATAATGTATGAAATATATCTAAATTAGGCGTCCATATGTTGTGGTCTACACTTTATATATACAAATATACACTATATGAGCAATATTGAGCTTTATATTTTATATGAGTCTAAAAGGGATGAACGTTAACTCTTGAGTTGTTATACAAAGTATTAAGTATGTGTATATAATATATGCTAGATATATGACTAATTAATTAATTGGTTAATATGGTTTGACTGGTTAGGAGTGTCTGAAACCAAGCCAAACCACCTAAACCAAACAAGCTAAAAATTTTAACAAAACCAAACCAATTATTCAAATTAACCAAACCAAATTATCCAAATAGTACTTGTTAAAACGGTTACCACGGTAACCAAACCGTTTGAACACCCCTAACCGCCATGGTACGGACTGGTAATAAATGCCTCAATTTTTTTTTGTTTTAAAAATATATCAAATTGGTTATCATTTTGAAGAGAACAATTAATTTTTGCAAAAAAAAAAATTCTAACTTAAAACGAGAGAAATCGCCCCTTAAAAATTAAAGAGGAAAAAGTTAGAGGCCTTCCATAAATGGCAGGGGGTGTTGATGCGGCGACTAGGGTTGGGTTATGCATGGTTATTGACTAGTAGGTAACTAACTAGATTTGGTCCTAGCAGAACCCACAACCTACACCGACAAGCATAGAATATTGACTATCATTATCCGGTACAATCTTAAAACGATCCTTACTAT